ATGGGACCTGGCCTTTGGGACACTGACCTTTTTGATGGAATGAATTCACATGAAAAAACATTCAGACACACTTTACTAGAAAAACAAAAGAAGGCAGCCAAGCCTTCCTGCTCCAGCTATTCTATACAAAGTTTAAAAATACTTTATAATGTGTATCTGAAAGATCCTAACTAGTTTTTTTTACAAAGTGCTTCCTAAGATGGATTCAGATGTAAGGGAAATATGCACTGTGGTGAAAAATATACAAAAAGTCTTTATTCTCAGGAATTGTAGGAATTTTTGAGTCTTATGAATATTAATTGTGCAGTGGTAAAAGTTAATTTGAAATTGTTCTACCAAGAAATAGCAATTTCACCAAAAGGTAGCTGGTAGGTACAGGAGGGTAGGGCAGGGTGTACTAAATGAGAAGTGCAGAGCAAGAGGTGAGGGTGGATGAGGGGCTAATGGGACAACAAGCCCCTAAACACTATGCTAAAGCTCAAGGGCATTTGAAAGAAGGAGCACCTGGAATTCCTAGAGTTTGTGTGGCAGGTAAATATAGCAGAAAGTTAGCAGCAATGTGGACCGAGGTAGCTATAACTGTACCTGACAGAGGCTGGGTACATCTAAACCCTAGCACCATTTACTTTAACAAAAAAAAAAAATCTTGGTGCCATCAGGTGATGTGGTAGTTAAGGTAGCTAAATTCCCGCATGGCCAACTGCAGTTTGAGTCCTGGATCCGGTAGCTTGAAAATCACGCCAGGCATGTGTGTATGTGTGCCCAAGATCCCAAAAGGAGTATGGAGGAGAAGGGATTGCAGTATGGCCATCCCCCTCCCCCTGGGTGGGGGGTGATTTCCTACTTTCCCTCTCTCTGTATCTCTCTCTCTTTTCTGGAGAAAACACATGCCGTATGGTAAAAATCTAAAAAAACAAAACAAAGGAACTTGTCTTTATATTGTCATCTTTTGTTTCTTTTTAATTTCTTCTCTCTCAACATGTTCAGTTTTTATTATATCAATTTCAGCTTTCACCTTTCTTTTTCTTGAATTTTATTGAACATGGCAGATGCTCCTAAAATTTACTTCTGTTTTCATTACTGGTTCTTTTTTCAAGAGTGCATCCTATCTCTATTTTGAGTGCTGTATTCTCTCTCTGCCTTCCTGGTGGAATTTTTTCATTGATATTTGTTTTTTTTCTGTGTAGTTGTCCTTGAAAAAAGAGAAGTGGAGGTCAGCTGAAAGGGTGGGTTATCCTCTGTTCCTTTCACTGTCTGCCAGGATAGAATGTTGGTGAATCTTCTCATTTTATAAGTTAAACAGATGCATCCTAAAGGTACTTCACTTCAGAGCCATTTGTTCTCTGAGGTTGTTGAAGCCATTTGGTTAGCGTTTTGCTTTCTTTTTATAGCCATTTTTTTGGGGGGACGGGTCAGACTTTCATATTGAATATATACATGTGAAAGCCCAGTGTCTGGCTGACACTGCTTGGGACTATACCAGAGAGAAAACCAATACCACTGAATTTTTGCTCATTGTGGCCCAAAGACTGGGACTTGCCAGTGGAGCTGATTTTCAGTGCTGTGGATCTGAACTGCTGGATGGGATTGTGTTGATGCCTACTCTGGGAACATCATTCCTTCTCTGGTCTGAGATCCTGGCCCCCTGCTGGAATGATAATATGAGGCTCTTTATGACTTGGTTCCCCTACTACTGTGCTTTCCTAGGAGTGAGAATTGTTAACTGTAGAGGATATAAATCTGAAGTCCATGTAATATCCTGAATAATTTCAGCTGGTTTTCAACATACTCTAATTTTTAGCTTGTGAAAGTGGTATAGGAAGTATTTATACTGGAATAGGAGCTTGTTTCAGGAAAAAGTGTCAATTCATTTTTATATTTTGTTGTCTTTGTATTATTAGCTTTATGGTTTATCTACTATGTCTTCCAGGAATCTTTTTTATTTTAATTTTTGGTGTTTTAGGGTACATGCATTCACCACAGGCAGACAAAGGAGACAGAGAGAGAGAAATTGAGAAATCACTCCTCAGAAGAAATGACCATGCTGCAATCACTTCTCCTCCATTCTTCTCCTGGGCCTTTTTGCACACACGCAGTCATGCCTGGTGTGATTTTTAAGCCATCAAGTCTGAGACTAGAACCATTATCACCCATGTGGAAATCCAGTGTCTTAACCACCATACCACCTGCTGGCCCCTTTCAGGAATCTGTTTTAAACTACATGTGCATTTTATAAAGATGGCTTAGTTAAAGCTAGTTCTTGAATCTATAATCCATTTAATTGGAGACCCATGAATCCATCCCTTAAAAACCATTGTCTTAAAAGATTTGTCTTAAAATTTTGTATTTGTTTTTGGAAAACATCTGAATTATAGCATTTTTCAAAATTTCTTTATTCCCTTCATGGCAGAGAGAGTGAGAGAAAGGTGGGTACCCTCAATAGGGTCTCATTTCTTGATACTCTCCTCAGCTCTTCCCAGTTTACCAGGATCATGGGTATACTTGGGCATGTTGGGCAGGTGGAGAACAACTCTACTCTTTAAATTTACTTTCATTTTACTTTGCCATTAGAGTTCAAAGAGTTTAGAGGTACTTGTGACCCTTGAGGTGAGAGGCAGAATTAGAGGCAGACTTAAGCCAGGAATGTGTTTTGCTGAACTGCTTTCATTCCTTATTTGGAACAGCCAGCAGTAAGGGATCCTGTTGCAGTCTCTGTTCTTGGGCAGGCTGGCAGTTCACTGTGTGTGAATGACTGGCAGGTCCTTCCATGCCAACTCCCTGTCCCGTTCTGCCTCTGAAATCCAGAACACTTCTTAATGCTGCCAGTGGATCCACAGGGTTGAGCCTTACCGCCAAGCCAGCAGAGGCCTCTGCTGAATTCTTTTGCCGATTTCCCTTCTGTGTGTTGGAGACTCACAAGTCAGATAGAGAGTATCCTTAATATAATCTCATTTGTATTTTACATCACTGAGATTTCTGGATATTTCTTTTGTAGAGTCACCTTTCTTGACTACTTTTTTAAAGTTGATGTCAGCTTTTTTTTCTCATTTATTGTTGGTCATTTTCATGACGATCAACAGAGGAGTAGTTTATATCTTGCCAAGAAGTCAACATATTCTCTTCTATGAATGCAGGCCTGAGGATAATTTGAAATCAGGAAGGTGAGAACAGATTGCATAAACCAATCCGTTTATCGAATACAGAGAGTTTACAATAATCTTAAGTATCATGATAGATTTTTTCTCAGTTGGTTACCAATGAGGATCAAATCCATTGCATAACAATCACCTAATTATAACAATTGTCTTTCTTCTAAACAACCTTGAGTCACACATTCTAGGTCAATTTCATTTAATCTTTACATCAACCTCTTCATTTTATAGATAACATTTAGAGAAGTTAAATAATTTCCTAATATTACAGAACTAAAATGTTGTTAAGTGGAATGCAACCCAAGTTTGTCTTCAAAGTTTCTACTCTTTTCTTTGACGACTGTCAAAAAACCTGAAGAATTATCCAATCTCCAAATCTGTTTGTCATTTATAGTGTTACTAGTTACTGTACTTTGATCGTCTGTAGGCATTTTATTGTTTTCACATATACCTAATCCTTTGGGTAAAATTCACAAATTTAAGAGAATACATTTGGGACCAGCAGGTGGTATAATGGTTATGTCACTGGACTCTATACAGTTGACTGTGGTTTGAGTCCCAAACCTGGAGGCTTGAAACACACTGGACATGTGTGCTTGCATGCCCAAAATCCCAAGAGGAGAATGGAGGAAAAGAGATTGAGGTGATGTCCATCCCCCTGAGGGATGATTTTTTTGCTTTCTATGTCTCTGGTGAGCACACACGTGCCCTGTAGCAAAAACAAAACAAAGCAAAAAAAAACTCTTTTTAAAAAAAGACTTGTTTTATTATTTCTTTTGTACTGTCTGAAACTTCTCAATTTACCATCCATCCCCATATTTATTCTTTTAACTGGAGTATTTGCCTGCTCTTGGAGAGTTTCTGTCCAGTGAACTAGGTTACTTTCATCACTTCCTTCTGTCACCCTCTGTAGTTACATCAATAGTCTGAATTTTCTTGATTGTCTTAGAATAGCCACAGGCCATGAGGCTGCTGTTCTCTTTGGCCACTGCTGAAAAGAATATCTTCAATAGGACAGAATCTCAAGAGGAGTTTGATGACAATGTTGCCGGTCTTGTGTTACTATATCCAATTAGAACACTAAAAATAAAAATCAGAGAAAAGTCAAAACTATTGATAATTTAGCGAGATTGTCAATAGTGTGGTGGTTAAGGTGACTGAATCCCACATACCAATTATATGGTTTGAGACTCAGACCCAATGGGCTTGAAAAAGACACCAGGCACATGTCTGTTTATGCCTGAAATCCCAGAAGCAGGTATGGAGGAGAAGAGATTGAGGTAAGACCATCCACATGGGTGGATGCTTTTCTCACTTTTCCCTCTCTCTTTGGTGAGCACACATACCCTCTAGCAAATTGGGAAAAAAAAGATAATTTAAAAACTCATAAAGATAGAAGATAGCTAGAAAGTGTTGAGGATGATCAGTGCCTAGCTAATGAGAATTTTTTTAAAGAGAGATTTTTGCTATAAGGTGCATGCACTCATCAGAAAGACAGTCAGTAATCAAAAAATCATTCTCCAGAGGGGATGACCATGCCACAATGCCTTCTCCTACAGTCTCCTCTTGGGATTTCTGGGATTCAAACCATGTTTGGTCATGTGGGAATCAGCGATGTAACCACTATACCATCTGCTGGTCCCGCTAATGAGGAAATTTTGTTCTTGCTCTCCAGTGGCAAAAATGTATGTATTTATTTTATAACTTGCTCCTTTAGACCTGTCACTATTTCCCTTTTGTATTTATTGAAATAAATAAGAATATTCAATGCCTGTGAAATGTGCCATTATAACTGTAGGATGTATTCTTCATTTCATTTATTCTAATGAAGTTATATTCTCCCCCTAGGTTACGATCTTTGGTCAAACAATTAGAGAGAGGGGAGGCCTCAGTGGTAGATCTTAAGAAGAATTTGGAATATGCAGCCACAGTGCTTGAGTCTGTATACATCGATGAAACCAGGTAAGGTAAAAATGACAAGGAAAATTAATACTGTGATAGTAATTTTCTATTAAGTGGCATTTCTAGCATTGTCCCCCATGGCATGTGTGGAGTAGCATTTGGGTTACTGGTTCTGAAGCATTGGTATTCACATATGGGATAGACTTGAACAAGTCATTTATCCTTTTTACCTTTTCATTATAAAAGGAGTTAGTAGAATTTATTTCAAATGGCCACTATAATAGTGAAGCAAAACAATGTAAGAGAAGAAACAGTAATTAAAAAATAATCTTTTGAGATTATCAGATATAGAGTTCTGCTGTAATTATTGCATATTGCTAGTGTCAGTCTAAAATTGCATTTATGTTTTAACTGGACAATAGTCATCAGTAAACAGGTGCTCTTGAAGTGCCCAAGAAGCATTTTTCTCTCTTAAGCACTCAGTATTTGTTTTTCATTCTTAAACATGTTACTGAGTTTCCTGGAAGACTTTTTCCACCTGAATTATCTAAGATTATTAAAGTGATTTCAGTTACTAAACACAGTTGAAAGTACCAAAATTGCCTTTCCTTTGACAAATGTCGAATATGAACAATTTTTTTCCTCTGATTCATACAGACTTCTCTGTCAGTAGCTGTTATAGCTTACTTTTCTTTGCCAAATTCTGATCTGAAAGTATTTCACTAAAATCTAAAGATTGTGTGGTTGATATTTTGGGTGACATGGTTGGTTGCTAATGGAAGAAAATTTGATATTACAGTTTATTCCAAATGTCATGTTTTTGTCCCTTTCCCCTCAATCTAGTGTTTAAAGATAAAGTTTAAGAGAGAGAGAGAGAGAGAGAGCGAGAGAGAGCTTACATTGATACCTGCTTTTATGCCTTATTTTTTATAGGGTTTAATATAAGTATAAATGAAACTGTAGGTTTTATTGTTACAGTTACAATTTATATTCCTTTCTAGTGGTCTTACGTGTAACAAGTTTGAAAAATCAACTAAGTATGACTTAAATCATTATGATCAAACAAGAAATCGTAATATTTTGAAATTTTTCTAGATATTAGACATGTAAGTTGTTATAACATCCTGTCAAATGAGAAAGGATATCTGTTGATATCAGGATCATTACTTCAAAGGACTGGATTGCTGTGATTTGGGTAATACTTTGCACAGTCAGTATCCATTTTTTTTTTTTAAATGTTGCCACATGGTCCATCGATAAACTAATTTAATTCTCCCTGTGAATGCAATTTTAGGTGGAAGGTTTAAATTCTGATAAAATTCCAGAACCTTTTTAAAAATGAAAATACTGGGTGTTCCTGTGAATAGCTTGGCTGCTGCCCAAGGAGCCTGAGATAGAGTATATGCGACTCCTTTTATCCCTTTATTCCTTTGTCTACACTGATAGAGAGTCATCCTAAACACAAATGGTAAATTTTCACAAGCCTTACCAAAAAGGTACTATATTTTTTTGTAATCAGTTTAATTTGGTTTCTTTGCACCTGTATATGCAGGTGGGGTGGAAAGGAGTGGCTGTTTTGAACAAAGAGCTCTAACTTCAGATTTTTTTAAATGTATTTTTATTGATTTTTTAGAGAGATTTTTGTTATAGTGTATGTGTACTTACTGTAGAGACAAAGAGAGACAGACAGAAAGAGAGAAATCATCACCTCGGGGGAAGGGGGATGGCCATGCTGCAGTCCCTTCATCTCCATCCTCTTCTTGGGATTTTGGTCATGCACACACATGCACCAGTGTGAGCTTTAAGCCACCAGGCCTAGGACTCAAACAGCAGTCAACTATATTGGAGTCCAGCCACATAACCATTATGCCATCTACTGGTCCCCTAAATTTATTTTTAATTGCCAGAGGGTACATATGCCTGCCAGACAGACAAAGGAAAAGCTTCCTAGTGGGACATGGTCACGCTACAATCTTTTCTCCATTTCTCTATCCAGTCAGGATTTGGGGCATACTCACATATGCACCCAGCATGATTTTGAAAGTGTTCGGGAATGGAATTTGAATGGCAGTTGGCCATTTGGGATCTGGGGCTAGGCTATGGGCTCCTAGACAGTGGGCCCTCTAACTTCAGATTTAATCTCAGTGTCCTGTTTCTATTTCTTATATTCAGGCGACTCCTGGATACAGAAGATGAGCTCAGCGACATTCAGTCAGACGCTGTGCCCTCTGAGGTTCGAGACTGGCTGGCCTCTACCTTCACGCGGCAGATGGGGATGATGCTCAGAAGGAGTGAAGAAAAGCCCAGGTTCAAGAGTATCGTCCATGCAGTGCAGGCTGGGATATTTGTGGAAAGGTAAAGATGTCATTTATGTCTTTCAGTGACTAAAGCAGCGAAAGAAACAAGATTCCAATAACAAAGTTTTGCTTAATATAGGTTTAATATCTTTGTAAATACTGAAAATTTTGTTTTTCATTTAAGAAATAGTCTTAGATGAGAAATGGCAAACACATCTCTGTTTTGATGTGTGTAGCATCATTAGAGCAAGCTTTTGCCTTTACTCAGAATTCTTTTCATTAACCAAAGAAACTCATTTGAGTCCTAGCTCTAATTTTTGAAAATGAAAATCATCTAATTTATCATCCTTTGAAATATGTGGATGGTGTCTACATTCAGAACAGATCTGGGATGCCTCAAAGTGGCTGACCCAGAGGGGACAGCTCATTTAAGGGGTTTGCATACTCTATGACATTTCAATTTTCTTAGCCATTTTGGTCTTTGAAATTGAATTGCTCCCCCTTCCCCAGAAATAGATTTGTTTTTCCTTTCATTCTTATTACACAATTACACATTGGAGATATGTCATGGTGAGTCCAAGGTTTACCTGGAACATTTTTCTTTCTTGTCTATGACAGTTCTAAAGAACCGGCTCTTCTAAATGGGTTGCCCACGGGAGTTCTTCACTCAGGTTGAAGTACTACACTGCATACTGTCCATGCTGTACTATAATTCACTCTGGCAGAAGAGGTGACCCATTTTAATAATTTAATTTACAACCTGGGGCAAAGAGACTTAATTTCTTTGTTTGTCTCCAGTGGTTCACAAGCCTGGAGTGGCTTTATTTTATTTTATTTTATTTTATTTTGGTTAAGTATAAAACTTAGGCCTCCTGAGTGACTGTGAAAAATGTTAAAAGGGAATTTTAGGTTCCTTAAGTCACTAGATGACATGACTTCCCATTATTTATCAATATTTGGTATGTCTGTGGACTGCTAATCCTTCTTTGTAAACTGTCCCATTACATTTTCTCTCTATGACTTTGCCAGAATGTATAGACGGACATCAAACATGGTTGGACTGAGCTACCCACCAGCTGTTATTGAAGCATTAAAGGTAAACCAATGGAAAGGTTTTTATATTGTAGAGTTAAAGTCATTGTTAGAAAATAAGAAGCTTTCATTTATAGTTCTTTTCTTCATTATACCTGACTTTTTAATTTCATTATTTTTCTTAATAGTTCTAACAATATCACTGTCTTTTTAGCCTTTGTCTCCCTAATTTTCTATTCTTTTCTTTTTTTTTCCTTTCTGCTTTTTACCATAGGTTTCATACACTTCCTGGAGAGAGACAGAGAGGGAGAAAGCAAGAAACCACCTCCAAGGGGGGATGGTCATGTCCCTTTTTCTCCATTTTCTTCTTGGGATTTTGGGCATGCACACATATGTGCCTGGTGTGATTTTTAAGCCATCTAGTCTGGGGCTCAAACCACCACTGGTCATGTGGGAGTCTAGTGCATTAGCTACTATGCTACCTGTTGACCCTATATCCCTAATTTTTTTTTAGAGGTATTTTTCCTTTGACAGACAAGGACATGTCTGCTTTCCAGAGAGAGAGACAGAGACAGCGAGAAGGGAAGTGAGAAGTTGCCCCCCACAGTGGATGGCCATCCCACAATCCCTTCCCTTCTCTTCCATTCTTCTCCCAGGATCTTGGGCATGCACGAACATGCACCCATTGTGATTTTCAAGCCACTGGGTCCAGGACTCATACTGTAGTTGGCTATGTGGGAGTCCAGCAATGTAACCACTATGCCATCTGCTGGCTCCAATTGTTTAAAAAATCAAACTCTCTGAGTTTAATTCCTTTTGATTTCCTTAGAGCAGTTTAGATTTTATACAGTGGTCTAGCATTATGAGATGCATCTGAAATCGACCATAGTAAATCAAATATGTCATAGCTATAAATATTCAATATTTAGTGGACCTTTATTGACTGTAATTGTACCATTATTTGATTGTCCACACCAAGTCCATATTATAGATGAAGAAACTAAGGCTTAGTGAGATTTTTAAAAGACAGAATTAATTAGAGACAAAGCTAAGATTTGGTGCCAGAGTTCCCAGGACATGGTAAGCCCTTAATCTTTTACTGCATAATATATTCTTTCAGAGTCCTTGTATTTTCCATTTATCCTACTATGTTCCCAAGATTCTTACTGAGCCAAATGTTCTATGGGAAGTAACACAGATGTTTGGGTTTAAATGGGCTAGATTTTGCAGAATTATTCCCTATCAGTCAGGTGTTAGAATTGGATAGACCCTCTATTAAGAATCCCAAAGTAAATTCATTCTTCTAAGCAGATGTTCATTCAAATCCATTGGTTGAAGAGTATTCTAGATGTGCTGAATCTGATTTGGGGGTCTCTGGGCTGGTTACATTGCATGGTGTCTATAAATGGAGTTGGTTCATTTGCTCAGTGATATAGCTTTCTGAACTCTACTAAAACAATCATTATCTTTTTCTGACACCTGGAAAATGTATTACCTAATTTTATTTGCAGAAGTTGAATGACCTATTAGTGGAATGGGAGTGGGAATGCTTCTTGATTACTTTAATGGAAGGACAAAGCCCCTTGGGACCATCTTAGTCACCCCCCAGGGGGGATGGTAACGACGCAATCCCTTCTCCTCCATTCTCCTCTCGGGATCTTGGGCACGCACGCACACGCGCCCGGCGTGAGTTTTAAGCCACCTGGTCCGGGACGTGAACCGTAGTTGACTACGTGGGAGTCCAGCGACATAGCCATTACGCTAACTGCTGGTTCCCAGTAGCTGAATTTTTGAGATCATATAAATACAGATTATCACTTCTCCTTTTCTGTCTTTACATCATCTGTTGCTTCTTAACTCACTTATGAGTAAGGATGCTCACGAAGGATACAATAAGGTGTGTGTGTTTCACATTTTTAAAACTTCCACTTTAGTGAATAATTCATCAATAGTTTAGAGTGATATTTCACATTTAATCAGCGAACTCACTTCATGAGATCTGATGTTTCATAACAACCACTATGAAATTGAATTGATTTTCATAATTAAATCGAAAATGTTTGGCAAAAGTCTTAGAAACAATAACAGGATCTTTCATCTTTAATTTCTTCCTTTATCATGAACATAAATGCAGGTGGGTATACTTTTTCCAAGGCATTTATGAAAATGTTTCTTTCCAAATCAAAGTCTCTTTTCTATGCTGAATACCCAAAGTAAATAAATAAATTGAGCAACCTGTGATATGCATGTGTTATTTTATACTTAGAGGAAAGAAATTCTAAGTTGCACACATGTTGTCTTTCTGAGTGGAAAGTATTTACACTATTCTGAGAAGGAATAAGCACAACTCTCTAAATTGCTATCCTTATGTACACACATTGCTGATGTGCACATTAAGATAAAAGCTGCTATTAGTGCTTTCAGCCCTGTACGCCATTCATTGAGAAGGTTCAAAACCTCTTTGCAAAGTATTTTTCCATTTTCCTAGATCCTTGTTTTCTTTGTGGTATGTAGGAAGTGATGGAGTGATCACAGAAATAGTTTCTATTACTTTTTAAATGTAATGTCTTTTAGAAAACAAAGGTTATTTCCACTTCATTGCCAACAGTTTACATCGAATCACTACTGTTTTCTTCAGTTAATGAAATTGTCCTCAAAGACTGAGAGAATACAATTCAATAAATAATTATTGTATTACTGTCATGTTAACCTTTGGGCTAATGTAAGAACACGGCATAAAAATGACATGTAAGTAAGAGAATAATTTACCATTACCAATCTCTAAAGTTGAAACCTATTGTATTTTGCTCTTTTTAAGTGTTTTCCATTTAACCTATAAAATCTTCTAATTTGAGATGTTTTATATCTACTCTTCTTGGTGAGCTTACTGGAAATGTAAATGTGTGCTCTTCAGAAGGGCAACTGCCCTATGATTCAGGAAGTGACAACTTAGATAGGCTCCCAGTTAAAGTGGGAGGAAATGAGGAGATACAGGTTTTCTTTATGTTAGACTTATAGAAGTTCTTGGGCTTCTTTTTTTTTTTTTAAATATTGAATCCTATTTATCATTATCTTTATTTTTAAATTTGCTACAGGGCATGTATACTCACCAGAGAGAGACAGAGAAAGAGAGAGAGAAAGTGAGAAGGCAAGCTGCCAGGTCCACGACTCAACCCACAGTCAACCATGTGGGAATCCAGTAATTTAACCCCCACATCATCTGCTAGGCCCTCTTGCAGCTTTTTTATAGGAGTTGTCCTTGGGCAAAATTTGGTAAGGAAAGGTGAATGGTTTAAGGCAATAAAATTGACTCCTTGTTAAAATGCAGATTTGAGGCCTCACATGTCAATTCTTTGGAATCTACCTGAGAATCTGTTGCCACAAGTAGGTCTGAAGAACATTATTTATTTATTTATTTATTTTGGAGAGCTTTTTGCTATAGGGTGTGTGTGCTCGTCAGACAGACAGAGAGAGACAGAGAGACAGAAAGCAAGAAATCATCCCCCAGGGGGGATGGCCACACCGCAATCCCTTCTCCTCCATTCTCTTCTCAGGATCTTGGGCATGCACGCACACATGCCCGGCATGAGTTTTAAGCCACCGGGTCCAGGACATGAACCACAATCGACTACATGGGAGTCCAGCAACATAGCCATTATGCTAACTGCTGGTCCCAAGAACATTAAAATTTGAGAATCATAAACTTTTTTTTTAAATGAGGAGTCAGAGAAGACACCATCTCACTGTCTTCGTTCACTCATCCATCTATTACCTTGACTTTTTTTTAGTGCCTAAGGGTGATTGGATGTGTTTGAGAGAGAGACAGCCTCATGTGTGCCTGGTCAGGCCACAATACTTTTCTCCCCTTTTTCTATCCTATTAGGATCTTGGGCACATGGTTTACATGCTGCTTGGGCTGAGATTTGAACCACAGTAATCAATGTAGGATCTGCCTCCCCTTGCATAGAGCTTGATCACTGTGTCACAGGGATGACCCTAAGTCTTGACTTTTTACTATGGTAACCTCTTTATTTCCAGTGATAGAGAACCTTTCTCTTTTTCACTCACTCTGGAAATTAGGATTCAAAATTATCAAACATGTAAAGCATTTTCCAACCTACTGAATTTTAAGTGACCTTTCCTTGGGACTAAGACTTCAACAATGGATGTGACTCAATGACAGTGCCAATTATATTGCTCTAGGTAAAGTCTTAGGTCTTGGAGTAATCTTTTTATTTTTTAAAAAGAATTATTTAACTTTATTTACTTATTTATTTATTTTAATTTGACCAGAGAGGGAGGGAGAGAGAGAGAGAGAAAGAGAGAGAGAGAGAGAGAGAGAGAGAGCACAAGAGAAAGCAAGCTTCCCGGTCTGAGAATTGAACCACAGTTGATTATGTGGGAGTCCAGCACCCTTAACCATCATGCCACCTACTGGCCCCAGTCTTGGAATAATCTTAAATTGTCTTGTTATCTAAGGCCTGGACCCTATCTAGACATTTAGGGGATGAGTCCTGAGTCAGAGCACAAATGACTGAGTTTCAATGTCATCTGTCCACATTAAGATGACCAAAGTCTGTCAGTGGGGTTATTATTTTCCTCTTACTATATGGCATTAGGTACTTATTTCATGTCTCTAAAGTTGCCATCTATAAGACTGGGAAGACAACACATATTCTTAGAGTTGTGAAGTTTTGCAAATGTGTATAAACACTTCACACTGACCAACACAAAAAATGTATTTAGTGCTGATAGCTATTTCTTTAGTTATTTTAATGAAGAGACCATTATTGAAGTTTGAGGTGCACTTACTACTAAGTGTTTGTTGAAATAGTTCTGTTAAAAGCCTTTTGGAAAAGTTTGGTTTTCTTTATTTACAGTTCAGTTTTCCTGGGCCCTGGCATCCATGAGAGAAACCCTTGATGGCCTTGGGATGAATTTCATGGTCGGAATGTTTGGAAAGGGACAGGATTGAAATGAATGGGTTATTTGGGCATGAAGTGAGAGTTGGGGTGAGAGTCACTAGTGCCAGCAGTTCTTGAAATCCCAGGGCTCTCCCAGGGTACCATCTGACACCTGGCCTGTTGCCAGTATGGTTTCATATGGTACCTTATTGTCAAGATCAAGTCAGTATACTTTTTTTCTTTCTTTTTTGAGAGAATTTTGCTATAGGGTACATGTGATCACTAGACAGAAAGCAAAAAAATTATCTCCTGGGAGGTGCCATTCTGTAATCTCTTCTCTTCCATTTTTCTCTCGAGATTTTGGGCAAATACTCACTTGCACCTGACCTGAGTTTTAAGCTGCTGGGTATGGGACTAGAGCCACAGTCAACCATGTGGGAGTCTAGTAACATAACTATTATGCCATCTGTTGGTCCTAAATCAATACATTTTTAACTCCATGGAGTGAGGAACAACATGACTGTTAACTTTAATTATTGTTTCAACACACCTTTTTTTACTGTATCTACAAATAGCTAGTTATATTTACAAATATTTTGAAGTAGCTATTTATGGACAAAGCAGGCTTTGAGCTTCATGGGTGGTGTATAACGTCTGTGTTCAGTTTCGTTTTACTTTTCCGTTTTTTTTTTTTTTTTTTTTTTTACTAAAGTGACTTACAGATTTGAGGACTAGATCCCAGATTAGTGACTTGAGAAATGGTAGCAATATTTTACCCTGTGAAACAAATGTTTTTGACTCAGCAAGTTAAATAGATATGGCATATTATTTTGTATTCTGTATCATACATGTTTCTAGACACTTAAGAGTTAACTGTAGACAAAGAGGAAGTCATTGGATAGTGTCAGTGGGTTAGGGAGAAGATCAGAGGAGGGAACTCTAGGTTCTCATGAATTAAGTAGTAGTAGCTCAACAGTTTAATGAGAAGCCTGAGCTCAGGCATCCACTATATATTTGTATACTGGCTCTATTTGTGTCCCTAGTATTTACTCATGTTTCTCATGCTGTGTCTTGGAGAGATAAGGTAACTTAACAGTTTTTTCACCTATAAAAATGTGACTAATGACATCATTTAGAATTCTTTTTCAGGAGAAATTATGTATCTATGACCAATCATAATGCATACCATACAGAAGGCATTCAATAAATTATGATTATTGTTATTAGTAATAAATCTATTTAAATCTTTAATAGTAAATGCTATGTAGCACTGCCTGACTGGAAGAAGTTGGGGAGTGGAAAGGCTGTTAGAATCTCAGGCAATAGAGTTTCTGGTAGACTGTAGGCAGATGTAAGAGTGGGCAGAGACGTAGCTGTGTAAGCAACTATGGACTGATGTGGTATTCCTTTTCACCCTCTCCTGAAGGATGTGGACAAGTGGTCCTTTGATGTCTTCTCCCTCAATGAAGCCAGTGGGGATCATGCACTGAAATTTATCTTCTATGAATTACTCACACGCTATGATCTGATCAGCCGTTTCAAGGTTAGTACCTCATTAGAAAGATAAATAAATAAACTGCACATTTGCTCCTCTGCCAGGGTCCAGCCTCGGCGGGGGTGGGTTGACTCGACAGAGGCATTGCAGGGAAAAAGAAGACAAAGGTCTTGGTGCCTTTTTCATGCACGTCCTTTGCTGGACACCCCTCAGAGATCGCTCTCTGAAGAGTGACAACTGCTAGGAATCATCGTGCGTTTTTATTGAAAATGTGTTACATGCAAGTAAGTGGGAGAGGGGCTACATCTTTCAATTATCAGCTCATAAAGTTTTTTAACAATAAGGCACAAATTTTCCATTCAGGATTGGATTAAGGGTGGGTCTAGTGCAGTTCTGCAATTGTTCATTTGATGTAGGTGGGTGTCCATGGAATGCAGTTTCGGGAAAGTGGCTTCAGCAAGCAGAGATGATTATCAGCTGATGCGGTGCAGCAGACATCTTGGAATTACCGGGAATGGCGCTGAGAAAAGAAAATCTCAAGTATAGATATTAGTTCTTATGGATCTTAATAAAGAATGGAACTTATATAATTGTATAGGGATCTAAAACTTAATTCAGGGAAAATTAATATATCTTAAAGGGGTAAAACTTACTGTTTACTAGGTAAGGGCTGGGACCACCTTTTCAACTGGCCATAGAGTGATTAGCAAGTTAATGAAGGACTTTAAGGTGAGTTTGTGGCCTGTGGTGCCACTGCTATGTATTTTGTTAGAACATTAGCCATAGTGGGGCGGGAGTGCCCTGGGCCTTCCAAAGGTCAGGAAGATTGCTGCCTAGATGTGACTTCATTACATCCTCCATTGTGACCCTCCAAGTAAAGTATTGTAATTAACAGTAGGTGGTCAGAGCAAAGGGGAGCCTTCCTGGAAGATTTTATCATATACTCAGGATGTATAAGAGAGTTATGTAATTCTTTTATAGTAGTATATTGGGGAGTTAGAGAGGGGGGTCGCGAGGGAGGAGAGGGGGCGGGCTCAGACAGATCCTGGGACCCCGCCAGGTCGGACTCTCCTCCACTCATCCTTATAGGATTTGGGGCTAAGGCCAAAATAATCCTTTTACTACAGACCAAAAACTGTTTTGGGTGACTCACAGGTCATGGGGATAGCTGCTGCTGTGAATTCTTCTCTGTGATGAGAAGTAATACACTTTTGCTGGTGGATCTCGTTGACTGGAGAAAGCTGGAGAAGCTGACTCAGGTTCCAGTCTTCCTGGAAGTACAACCCAACACCTGAAATAGCATAGTTGCCCTCCAGGCTCTGCCTACAGATCTCATTTCAGTATGACTGTGTACTATCAACCACCACTGTCAGAGAGAGAGTAATGGAGACAGAGTATGCATCCACTGTCTCTGTAAACTATTTTTTCTACCACTGGCTCATTCAGATAAATACTCTCACTTATCATCTGTGACAGATGATTGGTATTTCCCAGCCATTCATGCTCCAGATTAATTCTTCAACTTTAAATAGAGTGTAAATTGCTTCCAGTGTTCAACCCCCTCAGGTTCTTAAGGGAGCCTGGCCAATATCTATCATATAAAGCTGCTCAGACTTCTCTCAGCAGGTGAAAGAGCCTTTGGAAGACGCAGGTGTTTTTCTATATAACCTACTGATTTCTATAGACAACTTGACTCTATCACTTTCCTAAGGATCATGTATTTTGGGATCTATTTCTTACATGACCATGAATAGTTATGACAATGGTTCTTATATCTTTAATTTGCTTTGTGTCAAAGACTTTTATGAAATTCTAATGGAATCCTGGAGGCCCTTGCCTCAGAACAAAGCTCCCATGCACATACATACATTCTTACCTAGCATTTCAGTGGCTCATAGATCTCTAAAGAACAACCCAAGAAACCTAGGTTTGTTGTGTCTGTATTTTAAAAAATGGTAATAAATTTGTCTCTGACCTTTTAGAGGCCATATTTCATTTTTGTTTTTAAATCTACAAATGGTGGGGGACCAGCAGATGGTGTAATGGCTGTATTGCATGTAGTTTACCACGGTTCAAGTCCTGGACCTGGTAGCTTAAACTCACATCAGACACATGTATGTGCATGCCCAAGATCTCACAAGGAGAATGGAGGAGAAGGGATTGCCATGGCCATCCCCCTGGTGGGAGGAATGATTTCTCACTTTCTGTCTCTCTGTCTCTCTGTTTTTCTGGCAAGCCTGCATGCTCTATAGCAAAAACCTCTCAAAAAATAAAAATAAATAAAAATAAAGAAAGAAAGAAAAGAAAAAGAAATCTACAAATGTTAAGAAGAAGAATGAGGCCAGGAGGTTGCATAGAGGTTATGATGCTAGACTCTCACATGGTCGACCATGGTTCTATTCCAGGACCAGGTGACTTGAAACTCACGCTGTGTGCATGTGCCTGCATGCCCAAAATCCCAAGAGGAGAATGGAGAAGGGATTGTATCATGGCCATCTCCTCTGGGTAGAGCGGTGGGTTTATTACTATCTTTCTGTGTCTCCATTGAGCACATAAACCCTATAGCAAAAATCTCTCTTAAAAAAAAAGAAAAGAAATAGAATAGGAGAAGGTGCCTAAGGAAGAATGAGTATGGAATCTCAGAAGCATCCCCAGCACTATTTTTCTTATGTTTTCCTACTAGTATGATTGTTGGTTTCCAGGAACACATACCCTCTACTTTCCCTCTAGCTTTATACTGGGTAATTTACCCTAAATCATGAAATTGATACCAAAATCTAGTACAGTGAATGCATCCAGGGTCCCCTAATATTGTATTTTGCAAATTACAAAATTTTGCGTTTTGCAATTATTATTGACTTTTTGCCACCAATAAAGGAAGCCATGTATATTACATTTATTTCAGATGGAAGAACAATTAGGCTAGTTGGAAATACTGTTCTGAGTCTTTTATTTCTTGAGAAATAAATGAAGACTTACTATGCAGCATATCTTATTTATTTGTGGGAAACAACACAGAAATCTTAAGTTATAAAATTATTGCAAACATACACTAGTATTGAAGGAAATATTGATTCCTGGAAAAAATGCTCTTTTAAAGGTATGGGCATATGTATTGGACATAACAGAAAAACAAACAAACAAAACCCCACAAGTCAAAAGCAAAATCCAAATCCCCAAATCAAAACTAGAACATTATTATCTGTTATATGTGTGAACAAAAATAGGTTCTTATTTTTATTACTTTGCAATTAATTACTGGCAACTTACAATTTGGAAAAATCTCATTCCACTGATATTATGTTACAAATAATAATTCCCCAAACTGGTACTAATTCTGAGTGTTATTTTCATGTTCCTCAGTATTGTTTACAGTGTTGTTTGGTGTCCTGTGTAACATTTCTTTCCACTTGGGATGAGGTAGGAAGGGTGTTTAAAAGTAAATAAAAGCAAGGAAATTAGCATAGTCACCAATAATTCAGTTTTCCACATGTATATCAGAAATCATTGCTTTAGATGTGAATAAAACTAAATATCTTTGAGATAATTCTGTGTCATTCTCCAGGGGCTCTGAATTGAGCAATGAAGAACAATTTACAAGGCATAATATTCTTCAATTAGGGACTTTCTGTTATATTTTCAAATTACCTGGTAATTTCTTCAGTGATTTTTATTAACAATGGAAAGTTCTCATTTCCTCAAGGGATATGCTATGGCTCTATAAAGGAGAGTTGGGATGCCTTAGGCTGTTTCTTCTTCACTTAGAGCAACTAAGTTGCCAGTCATTTAATCTTCTCTCTTTCAGATCCCCATTTCTGCACTTGTCTCTTTTGTGGAAGCCCTGGAAGTAGGATACAGCAAGCATAAAAATCCTTATCATAATTTAATGCATGCTGCTGACGTTACACAGACTGTGCATTACCTCCTTTACAAGACAGGAGTAGCGGTAAGTAAAGACAGGAACTCCTAGATTAGATGTGATGATGATTTTTCAAATGGTGGATACCAATTCTGATGAGACTGAGTCCATAATGAATGCACTGTTTTATGGACTCTCTATTGCCCATGGGTTATCTAACCAATTTGTAAAATCTTGGGGTTACCTATTGTCTGTGAAACTTTCTCTATCCTGGACTTAATGAAATAGATATGTTAGTGACTTGCATTCTTCCTAGGTTTTAACCAATTAAAATATAATTACTAGAACTAAAAATGTTATTTACAGATATGGGGAATAGTACTATTAACCTCTTACTATGGTCAATAACAATGTCACTTATGCTTACTGTAATTGTTTTGAATAGTCTTGGCCACCATGTTACACAAAGATATTAATGGTTTTTAGTTTAAGTCACTGAATCTTTTCCCCAGGGACTGTGGTTATTTACATTTGTGTACATTTGATGTTTTTTTTTTTGGAGAGATTTTCACTGTAGGGCGCGTGCGCTCGCCAGACAGACAAGAGAGAGACATAGAGACAGAAAGCGAGAAATCACCCCCCAGGGGGAATGGTCATGCCTCAATCCCTTCTCCTCCCTTCTCCTCCATTCTCCTCTCGGGATCTTGGGCACGCACACACACGCGCCTGGCGTGAGTTTTAAGCCACCGGGTCCGGGACACGAACCGCGGTCGACTACGTGGGAGTCCAGTGACATAGCCATTACACTAACTGCTAGTTCCCTACATTTGATGTTTTTGAATCTAGGAGTTAATCTTTACATCTAATAATCTGATATATTTTTAGATTGTTATAACCCAACATTTTAGATCTTAAGATATGCTTGAATCTCTGTTTTATAATCAGTTGTATTGACTGAGTTACTCAATTAGTTATCTATGTCTTTGCTTTCTTTTCTGTATTTTTTAAGAGAGATTTTTGCTATAGGGTGTGTGCTCTCACCATAGAAATGGAGAGAGACAGAGAGACAGAGAGCAAGAAATCATCCCCAGGGGATATAGCTATGCCACAATTCCTTCTCTTCCATTTTCCTCTAGGGATCTTGGGCATACATGCCCACATGCCCAGTGTGTTTTAAGCCGCTGGATCTGGAACTCGAACCGTGGTCAGCTACCTAGGAGTCCAGTCACGTAACCATTACGCCACCTGTTGGTCCTGCCTTTGCTTTCTTTACCTTGATATAATCCATTAATTTAAAAAGATAGAACTGTTAGTGCATCTTTGGCATTTTACTTGAAAATCTTCTTAAAAATTTACATAGACATTCTTTTGGTATGGTTATTAATTACCTTATAAATCCAGTGCATATTTGTTAACTTTATTTCTAGGACATATTGAAAGACATGGTCTACTATATAACTGAATTTAAAATGGAACACAGTGGGAGGAATGTGGAATATGGAGCTAAATAGAGTGAGATAAATCCTTGCTTAATTACTTACTAGATTTTGTGACTTTTTATAAATTACTTGATTCTCCAAGCCAAGATTTCTTCATTTTTAATATGGTGAAAATTATTCCCCCTGTAGAAATGCTAAGATATTAAGTACTCTGCCTTGTAGAGGAAGCTCAACAATTAGGGATTATTTTTGTTAAAATATTGCAGAATTTCCCCAAAACGTATTATAATTTTTAGTTTTTCCCTATTGAAAAGCTGGTTTCTTAAAAATATTATCTAAAAAACTGTTTTTTAGATTATAGAAAGAGCTCTGGAGTACTCCGAAGTTTTAAATGAAAGCAAATAATTAAACTGAGTAATAGATACTAAATATGAGTAGCCACTGATATTGAGGAAAAAGACAGCAGAGCATAGGATCATGGAAGTCAAAGAAAGAAAGTGCTTCTAGCAGAGAGCTGTGCTCTGGGGTCGGGGATACCAAAGGTTGAATAAGATAAGGATACAGAAATGACTATTGGCTTTGACCACATGGACATCATTGTTATCCTTGATATGGGCAATCCCAGTGGTTTGATGAGAATGTGACACTGATTACAATATAATAAAGAATTGTGGGTGAAAATGCGAAGACATGTATATAAACAACAACAATATTATAGGGAAAATTACTCAATTCAAAAAAAGTTTGGGGTACATCTGTTCATTTGGAAAAAAATATTTCTGTTCTTAAATTTTACTTTATATTATTTATTTTTATTAGTTTTTATATGTTAGAGGGTGCATACACATGAGAGATGGGCGGGGGTGAGAACCCTTTTCAATGAGGCTGGTTATGCTGCAATCCTTTTTCTCCTAGTTCTCCAACCCAGTCAGGATCCTAGGCATACATGCATGCCCAGCATGTTTTTCAAGCAGATAGGGCTAGTTTTTTTTATTTTGGAGAGGTTTTATTTTGCTATAGGGCGCATGTGCTCGCCAGGCAGACAAAGAGAGACAGAGACAGAAAGCAAGAAATCACCCCCGAAGGGGGATGGCCACACCGCAGTCCCTTCTTCTCCATTCTCCTCTCGGGATCTTGAGCATGCACGCACACGCGCCCAGCATCAGTTTTAAGCCACCAGGTCCAGGACTCAAACCACGGTTGACTACATGGGAGTCCAGCGAAAAAGCCATTACACCAACTGCTGGTTTTGAACTCTGGTTGGCCATGTGGGATCAAGCTTCCTCTGCATAGGATTTATACACTGCTGTGTGAGAGTGGCTCCTGTTTTTATATTAATTAAAACAATTTTACACAAGGTCTTCCTGCCCGTCACCAGCTGGCACAACAGGTGTTTGCCACCATGCCTGGTTCTCTTTTTATATAGGATCTCGCTATGTTACCCACATAAATTTTGAGCTTGTGATGTCCCCTGCCTTGCTTAGCCTCCTGAGTCACTAAAGTTACAAGTGTATGCCACTAGAACTGGCCTTTTAAGTTGAACTGGGAACCGAACCACAGCCTTCTTTGTGTTCTCAGCTTTCCCAGTACATAATTTTAGCACCTCATGGCTGGACCCAGAATGTTATTATTTTCTTCAAATTATTCACTGAAAAAGATGCGACAATTTAATTAAAGAAACAAGTACACAGTAAAAATTTATACTAGAAGAAAATATGTGAATATGTTTATAACTTTGAGAAAGGAAAATATTATGTAAGCTTTGAAATAATAGTTACACTTTAAAATATTAATTTGAGTACATAGGTTAAAAACACTCTGTAAGATAAATCTCATCATAAAGAAGCTCATGAAGTAAGCATTCAGAGAAAATATAGGGACAGCATAGATTAAGATCCATATTTTACAGGGGCCGGCAGGTTGCATGGTGGTTAAGGTGCCGGACTCCCATGTATCCAACCACGGTTTGAGTCTCGGACCTGCTGACTTGCCCTCTCACTTTCTCTCTCTCTCCTCCTCCCCTCAAATTAAAAAATAATAACATAAAAATAAATAAATATTTTTTTAAAAGATCCAGATGATTATATAAAGAAATCAAGAGAATGACACAATATCAGCAGAAAAATAGCAGAGAATATGAATAGGCAATTAATAGAACAGGCATACATGAAATATGAAAAGATGTGCAACTCATTAGTATCCAAGAGTATACAAACTTCAATAAGATACCAGTTTTCATCTATGTACATATGGATTAAAAGTTTAATTATATTAATCATTTGTTAGGATTTAGAACTAAGTTTCTCAACCTCGGTAAATCCAATCCAGTATCATTTAATTTTTTAAAATTTCACTATAGAGCATTTGCACTCACCAGAATTAGAGAGAAAGTGAGAAAGTTTTCAATTTAATTTGAAAAGAAATTTATATCTTTAAAATAATAAACTTTGCTGTCCAGAAATATGACCATTGAGGGTATGGTCATACAGCAGTCCTTTCTCCTCCATCTCCATTCTTTTGGGATCTGGGGCATATGCACACACATGCCTGGTGTTTTCCAAGACACGCTGGGCACAGGACTCAAACCATGCAGTTGACCCTATGGGGTTCAGCAGCCTTAATTACCACTCCCCTGGCTCACATCTAGAATCTTTCAGTTATATTTCACTGGCCAGAAATGTTTCTATGGCCACTGTAATATATAAAGAAAGCTAGACACGTTGCCATTCAAAACAAAGTCAGAGATACTGCTAGAAGAAAAGATGAAAAGTTGAGCAACCCAAGTGATTGTTTGCCACTGGAAGTAATATTATCCTTATTTTAAAGAAGAAACTCTCATATCCAGAGATTAACATTGTCCTATTAAGGGCCATCCAGGTGGCACGGTGGTTATGGCAGCTGGATCCCACATGGCCAACCTTGAGTCCTGGACTGGCAGCTTGGAAATCATGCCAGGCACATATGCATGCATGCCAAAAATCCTGAGGGAGAGTAGAGGAGAAGGGATTGTGGCATGGCCATCACCCTCTGGGGTATGATTTCTCACTCTCCTTCTGTCTCTCTCTCTCTCTCTCTCTCTCTGAAAAAACAAAAACAAAACAAAACAAACTGAAAAAAAAAGTTCTATTATAAAGTAGCAGTTATAGGCTAGATTATGTTTTTCTTTTTTTAAATTTTAAAAAATTTTTTATACACTGAATCACAGTATTTAGCTTACAAAGTGAACATTTCAATATGTGAACATTTCCTCCCAGTCCAGTTGATCAAAATATCTTCAACAGATAACACCACTACCTCTCTTTCCCATCAATGTTCTGTCTCTGTAACCCTCCTCCACAGTGCTTCCCCGGGTCCCACTCCTCCACACACATCACATCTGGCATTTGGATTAGGTTTTTCTAAGATTCATGTATTGGAGTTCAATTGTATTGAGTCTTGAACTTCAATCTGACACAGTTGATGCCTTTGTGAAGAAGAAGAGCAAGTTAGAATACAGACTACAGATGTGTACACAGAAGAAAGACCATGTGAGGACACAGAGAACATGGTCATCTATAAGGAAAAAAGAAAGGCCTCAGAGGAAACCAACTTTCTTGGAGACTTTTAGTCTCCCAAACTGTAAAAAAATTAATTTCTGTTCTTCAAGTC